GATTAATAAATTATCAATCATAAATTATCAAATTATCAATCGGAGTTAATCTTTTGTCGATCAACCAATAAAATCAAACTTGCTCTATGCTAGTACGACCTCTATGTCATAGCCGTAATGCCGTGGGTAGTCACTACCCTAAGAAATGTCTGCATCACTAATTTCAACTTCTGAACAAATAATTGGAGAAAATGAATGCATCTCGAATCTCGCTGCAATATTTGTGACTCGGTTTGATACGAAAAAAGGAAATATAGTTGAATGGCAATATCCTGAAGGCAAATAAATAGTAATTTTATACGAACTTATTGTAATGAAACACATTGACTTGTTTTGCGATTATAGATTTTGATCTTGATGGTATCGAGTTTCAATCAATTCCAAGTGGATTACATGCCGTAAGGCAGGATGTAATGTAATGTTTAATGATCGTTATATTCAACTTTAATTAAACATTAAAAAACATTAAACTAACTTTGTATGAATAACAGATATTTCTTTAGACCCCCATTTGTTGGGCTTAGTGTATTTCTAAATGAGTCCACGATGGATGAGTCACATGACCGAGGTGCGCATATGGCGGCAGTTGGGATTTTAGTGTCTCCAACTGTAGAAACAGGTCTTTGTGGCAGACCATGGAAACATCTTGGATTTTTGCAAGATGAGGTTGTGTAGGTGTCAGATAGTACAAGTGGTTTTGAATTGTGAATTATAAATAATTCATCTTATGTTCCTCAATACAGGCGACATGTCCACTTCTCAAATGATTACTCTAGCCTTCGTCAATACTTCGATAAACATAGTATTCGGTCTGACTTTCTAGAAAATAACTTAGATTCTATAGAACCATGCGGTAATTCGACCACATCGCGACGACCACGTGCCTTAACAGCTTCAAGCAGCCGGGGTTTACCAACTGAAACGGGCACTAACAGTTATCAAACGCCAGTCTCGGTGAGCAATCAAATAATAATTTATAAATTTAATCTTATTTTCATATATATTGATGTATGTGTATGACGTGTACAAATTTTTTAAAGTCGACACATCCTGCTCATCATTTTCCGGATTTTGTCCGTTTGTGTGGTCCAACTATTTTTATACTATGGAAAGCGGCTCTGCTTAAAAAGCGAATTTTATTTTATTCTCCTCCACCGGTGGAGGACATTTGTTATTCTGGTGATTTTATAAATTGTATCTATTAAGTTATATGTAAATATACATTCTAACTTTCTTTTATCACCGAGATTGTAGTTTACGGAACATGTCTTCTTGCCAATATTCCATCAGCAGTCACCCGATCGTTAAAGAACAAAGTTGATAAAATTAAACCATTATTTAGTGTTGGCATTAACGATATTTCAATGATTCAGTCTGCAGAAAATGGATACGTTGCATGTATGTTGTTTGAATTTTTATTTTACCTTTTTTTTTTTTTTTTTTTAAAAAAAAAGGCATTATTTTATGTTTAACTTTTTTTTATTTCTGTTTTTTTTTTTTTATTTTTTACTTTTATTTTTATCTTAATTCTATTTTCATTTTATTTCTATTTTAATTCTATTTTCATTTTATAATTCTATTTTCATTTTATTTCATTTTTTATTTATTTTTATTTTTATTCTATTTTATTTCATTTTTATTTTTCATTTTTTAAATTTTTTTTTTATTTTTACTTTTATAATAATAATAATATTTTTCAGGTACTACTGATCGAGTACTTCAACACAAAAACCATCTGTTTGATCTTTTAGTAAATATGCCTGCTCGCGAGTCAAATCATTCACATCCAACTTTAGTCGCATCACCCGGATCACATCTGTCTACAAACATAAATGCTACTGATATTAGACGCTATAGGGTTTTACTCAAAATTTTGGCATCTTATGGAATAAACTATTTAGATGGGTATGAGGAAGATGGAGGAAATTTGACTGATACTTGGCGCAAAATGATGTTTGGTGGGTGGTTTTGGTGGTATGGGAGAGATGGGTATCAGAAATTAAATGATAATTATGAGGGTGAGGGTGAAGGTGATGAAGGCGATATGTTACTGAGCTATCATGACGATCCCTCACAAGATGGGCAAAATGTTGACGGATCTAAAGATGTTCCGGAAATTGAGGTGGAATTAATAAGGTATATTTATATCTCTTTATTGTTATATGTTTATATTGATTTGCTCTTGTTTAAACCAATATTTTCTTTACAAGATTCTTTCAAGCTTTAACAACTAGTCTTTTTAATACGTTGCGATCGATGATCGCAACATCTAACGTGTACGAGTCTGACGATGAGATAACTTTCCTTTACTCAGATCACTTAATTCAGCTTGGCTTAGATCCACGTGATGATGGAGCATTTGTCGAAGAGTTGGCAGAAATGTATTTCGGTAAAGAGGTTGAAGTTGTGGGAAAAGGTGGTAATATATTAATTCAATCATGTTCGGAGTTGTGTTCTTTGGATGAGGTATGTTGCTGCTGTCGGGTTTAATTCATGAATGATTTAATATGCATTTATATAGCCATTTTCAGCTTATTTATATCCCAACCTTCAATACGAAGGCAAGAACATGTGCGTGCCATCTCTTTTCAAAATTTGTATTTGTATTTTAGTTATTTATTTATTTATTTATCTTGATAACAACTTCAAGGGTTATCGACACAAGAGTATGGAATTATATTAATAAATTGATTGGAATAGTACGAGGTGAAATTTTGGTTTTTTATGTATACTATAGATATTTTATAACAACTGAGGACAATTTAAAAATAAATATAATCGCTATTTATTATCGGATAACACAAGTTATTGTAAAGAAAGGCGGTACTATTAATTTTTTACTGTAATGTATAAAAATTCCGCATTTTAAATGACGCGCGTTTAAAGGATTATTACGGAGAGTCAAGAATTTGAGTTTGGACTCAACCGTTGATACATTATTTGTTTAGATGCTACATTACGTGTAAGTGTTCAACTTCACTCTGAAAAGTCAACGCAATGACGTTTTTGTGCTTTTATTTTTTTTCTTCTGGAACATTACACATTGTCTTTGTAACATAATTGCGTCATGCGACGTCCCAAATGATGCCGTCTAGGGCATTAAAAAAAATATATAAAATAAATAGAAAGTTTGGACGAACTACAGCTTGTCATTGGCAGAAATAATAACCGAATAAGCCGGCTCAGTCGTGTAAAATTATCGACTCGGCTAAGCTTATCATTTCTAATTGATCACAATTACTACGTCTACATAGGTTTCCTTGGCAAATCTGTCAGCAAAATTTTAAACCTCTTTTTTAAAAGGACTCGCTGACGCGAAAACTTATCGTCCGGTGAAAATCTAGCTGGATGCGCGGATTTAGTAATTCCACCGCTTGGGCTACGTTTCTGAAAAAAATAACTATTTTTATTATATAATAAACTTTATATTTGCTTAATGATTAAAGGTTACCTTGAGAGTATAAACTCGGTTACCATTATCATCGAGATAATACATTAAATGCATCTCGTTTCTATGATTTATTATGAAAGAGTTTTCAATGATTGTGGCAGATTAAAATGAAATATAATATAAAATCTCGAAAAATAAATTTTTTTAGTGGGTATTTTTTAGGGCTAGGGGTTAGAATTAGGGGTTAGAAT